ATGTGTTCAATTCAGTATAATAATCAACATAATAAGTAATGCATTCTCTTGCCATCTGTGTACTTTGAGATTCCTTTGCATGCGCACATGCACACTCATACAAGCTGTTAATTTTCAATTTTTATATAATTTTCTTCCACATTATATTCCTTTTCAAGGAAATGTGGATAAGCAAAGGTCATGACTAGGAATTGCTAAATAAAGCAGTAAAAGGACATTCAAAATTGAAGAAATAGAAGGTGCTAACTATGTTTACAAACATACAGGTTTGCTTGAAGACTTCTAAATTATTGAGGTTATTTAAATACAATGTTTCTGAAATATAACTACTGGTTCTAAACGTACAGACTGTGTTCTAAAAATTTAATTATTGCTGCCAGAAGAAAAAAAAATCTGCTAGCATTTTAAAAGGAATGTATTGAAAGTATAATATTAATAAAATTCTTGGATGTTATGGATTTGATTAACATTTTACTCCTTTGAGATTCTAATTATACAATAATACGAGTCCCTTAGATTTTAAATACCACAGACAGGAATAGACTTTACTAAAAACAGATGTGGAACCCTTATGTTGGCCTTCTTACTGGTTTTAAGAACTAGTACTGTTGGTAAGTGGTACCTATTAACATGTTTGTTATTTGGATTACAAATCTAGAAAAACTGTAGTATTTTCTGACAAAACTATATGTTAATGAGAAACAGTTAGATTTGCGCTTCAGCTATACAGCCTCTTGTTCTTAATTAAATATAAAAGTAACTTGGAAAAAAAGAATATTCTATTCCAATTTGAAAAGGCCCTGAAACATAGATAGAACACACATAGATGTACAGACTGAGTTTTGGTAAATTTTCAACAATCCTTCTGGATTTTATCACCAATGAGAATGGTTCTTGATTATTCCTCCTAATATTTCAAAATGAACCATAATTTCATGGTTCTTTGAGATTATTTAAACCTGTTTTTTTTAAATGTTAGTTTCTGTTTAAGTTTTTACAGATGTTTTACCACTCTCAATTACTCATGGTCATATTTATTTATGCATTTATGTCTTTATTGTCTATCTTGTGCTTATTTATGTCTTTGAAACCCTTGAAATCATAAATGACTGATTTGGCAAGGCCATCTAAGTTCACTGACCAAACAAAAGGGTTGAATACATTTACCTGAAGTGCAAAACCTTTACTGAACACCGAGGCCACACAAACAGCCCCTCTCACTTCCCACTCCCAGCACAGTTCCCTTAACCATCTGGCCAATCAGGATAAGAAATAATTACCCCTGGCCAACTAGAGTAATTATCTCTGGCCAACCAGGGTAAGATATAACAAACAGTAACAGGTTAGCTATGAAATACCCATGCCCTCCTTCCATCTCCCACCTGGAGAGAGAGCAACTGTTAATAAATCCAGCATCCCTAACTCAATAAACGCTTCCACCATTGCTCCATTTGAAGCTCCTTCATAGGTTTATGAGGGAAAATTGACAACCCACCAAGATTTTTTTAAAAAAACTAAAACAATCAAGATGATCAATAATCTGTGGGGTTTTTTGGAATGTGTTTTTTTCTCCTCATGAAAAAGTTGGATGAAAAGATAACAATACAAATGAAAATCTGTGGAGATAATTGGTAAAAAAAGTGCATTTTATTTTATTTTTACAGGCAAGATTTGTTGAATTTTCTTGTTATTTATTTGTTAGGAGTTAGAATTAAGTGATTTTGGTTTGCCACACCAAAGTGGGAATATGTTTACTTCTTGCCATTCACTAATTTTTAACTGCTCAGGCTGTGCTGAGCTCTCAAAAGCTGGACATTTGAGAGTCCCATTGTGGACTAAAAGTTGAAGTATGAAAGATTTCCTCTGTCTTTCTTCCACATGCTGATAACTACTCAAAAAAGTTTGTAAGCTTTCTTGCAGACAGCTAATCTCAAAGGAAACATTGGATATGAATGTTCTTATTGATGACTAATGATGCATTATTCCTATATGTCAGTTAGGTATTTCCTATGGAAAACAATAGAAACACGAATATTGGCCCATTTGTTTAAACTACTGGAAGTTTTCAACACTACATTAGTATTCTAACAAATGTGAAAGTTTTTGCTTAGGATCGTATTGTCTTCAGATGAATTTGGATCACAGTTAAAGAGGGAAGTGAAAATTCTAATTAAACCCTGCAAGTGAAAAATATTCTGTTAATTAAGCCTATGAATTCTGAACAGACTCTTAAAAACAAAGACCTGGTGCTCTAGCAGCATTACTTTGATTCAGCTCTACAGCAATTCATGCAAATAGTTTTTTATTGCCATAAATGATTAAAAGAAAGTTTTGCATTTTCAGTTGTACAAAAAATTGAAAGGAGAGGGATGCAAGTTGTTTGGTAAGTCTCCCTCACCTCTCACATGTCTCACTCACATGCACCCCCATAACATAAATGTGCTTATCCTATGTCTTATTTTCCCTGCTTTCATTTACCTGCCACAGTGTCCTCATTATCTGATCTACCTGAACTTACACATCATTGCATTCCCCTCTTGCAATTAAAGCAAACACATAACAGAGTTGGAAGGAACCTCCGATGTCTTCTAATCCAATTTTCATTGCAATTCATGTGTGATCTAGTCTAGGTCTCCCAGAATCTCATCAACACCCACCCCCGTGGCACTTCCACCCTTATTTATTTATTAGGAAAAGTTATATTGCTGCTTACTGAAAACTGGTGACTCAAGGCGGTTTACATGAAGTAAAAATACAATATAAAAGAAATAACAACAACAACAACAACAACAATTTATTTATTCATTAAACATGAAACTCAGTCAACTGAACATTTTAAAATATATCACAAATACCAGTGGCTGGTGTTAGTGGTTGATACAGGTTGTTGCCAGCGTCCTAGATATCAATCAAGTAATATTATTATTATTATTATTATTATTATTATTATTATTATTATTATTATTATTATTATTATTATTATTGTTGTTGTTGTCCCCTCACTCACTTATACCAGCCATTTAATGGACTTCATCCCATTGTGAGTTTCCACTACTAGAACCATGTCTTCAGGGCCTTCTGAAAAAGTGTCAGATTGGGGACTAGTTTTTGGAAGGATGATGTTTCAGAGGGAGGGAGCCACCAAATAAAATGTCCTTCTTCTGGATCCCATCAGATGTACCTTCTTAGGAGATGGGACCTACAAGATTCCTTGCCTCCCTATTCTAGTGAGTCAGATGGATGTGATTGGCAAGAGACGATATTTCAGATAGCCTGATCCCAAGCCATTAAGGCTGAGGTGGTATTCAGTAGGTTCTGACCAGTTCTGGAGAACTGGTGACAGAAATTTTGAGTAGTCCAGAGAACTGGCAAATACCACCTCTGACTGGTCCCACCACCATCTATTCTCTGCCTCCTGAACCCCAGCTGATTGGCTGGGTCTTCTTTTGTTGCCCTGCACAGGAGAATGGAGCTGGAAAGCAGGTTAGTGGGGTGGAGAGGGAATTGGAGATTTTGCAGTAACCTTCCCCTGCTATGCCCACCAAGCCACGCCCACCAAGCCATACCACATCCACCAAGCCACACCATGCCCACCAAGCCACGCCATCAGAACTGGTAGTAAAAAGTTTTGAACCACACCACTGCATTAAGGGCTTTAAAGGTGACAACCAGCACCATGAATGGCACCTGGAATCAAATCAGCAACCAATGCACCCCCTTTGTAGTCACTAAGAGATATGGTCCCATGACGTCACATAAAGTACCCCTCAGAAGTTTCTTTATGATACATTGTGGGCTGCCATTTCTAGATGAAAGCAAGCCAACCATGTTGCTTTGAGCTGCTTTCCTTTAGAACTCCCTCCAGCTTTCTCCTGCAGAACTTGCAGAAAAAATTGGTTCCATTCAAAATGTTTCTAGATAGCTTCAGCAAGCACTCTGGGACTTTTCACATACTGCAAAGTCTGGTGATTTGCCAAAACTACAAAAGCTTTTCTTGGCTGGACACTTTCTGTGAACTGTGGGGAAACCCTGTAGTTACATGTTGAAGTTCTTTAATTTAGAATGTTTGGGTGCATGCCCCATTTTTTCCATGATGCAGAATGAATCCTATAATATTACCGAAGTGGCTCAGCTAGGAACATGTTTTTGAAAGGTCTGGCAGAAAAGCAGAAAGAAGCTTTCTCTCCAAGCAATGACCTACAGTAACTTAAGACAAAGTGCATAGTTTCATTAAGAAAAAATGCATTGTGTTTTTGCCTTGAAAAAACTAACCACATCTCTTTCAAAGTGCAAATGTTTTGGCCAAACTGAATGTAGGTTACTCTGCACCAGCTTATTAACTACTTCTTGGCTTTTTCTTTCACCTCTGATGAAAAGGGGTCCCGTCTTCCATTTCATGCTTCATTTTTAAATTTACAAAAGCAGCTGCTCTCTGGTTCCATTTCTCTGTCATAGACACAAGTTTAATATTCTAGTATACAAAAAATATATATAATGTCAACTTTGGTCTAATTTTGTGAAAAGCGTAAGTCACAAGTAAAATGTTCAGTTGTGTATCCATATATGACTCTTACAAGCGACTCTTGAGTATCATTCATCACCAAGCCTGTTTCATCAGACCATTTCACTTTAAGTGCCTGTTAAGCTAATATTGACTTTTCCCATTAAAAGAAAATCTGATATTTGTGCCTAGAAGACTGAAAAAAAATTCAGGAAGGAAAAGAATGGATCTTCTTGACCTTTTCTTTATTTTCCCTCTATACCTTTGAGGATTAGTTTATTTGTTATATAAACCTAATAGGGGATGCAAAGAGTGAAGACATTCAGACACAGAATCTGTATTTTCTATAGATTCTTTTCCCTATGCTGTTTTTAAAAAGAAAAAAGAAAAACATTCTGGAAAATTTATTTATCACTTTAGTTAGTTTGTTTGCTATCTTTGAAAATCTGTTAACAAATTTGTATGCCTTTTATAAACATGGTTTAATTTTTTTTCTTACCTGTATCCATTCTCTAGTAGAATCAATTTCAGGTGTCCATCCATTTTCAGGATAATTTAAACGGGACCTTTCAGATGACCACTGGGGGTTATATTGGGAAGAGGCAGTAATCTGGTCAGAATGAATTTCACCAGATTCCATGCCAAGTGGTTCCATGCACTGGAAGTCTGAGCAAAAAAACCCCAAACATTGATATTCTTATTGCATCCTTTTTAGACAGGAATACTTAAGTATAATTATGTTGCTTTATAAAAAAGAAACTACTGCAATATAAAGATAGTTCTGATTTCAGCTTTTAGAATTATGCTAGACAGTCATTATTTCAGAGACATTTCCTTACTTAAAAGGAGAAACAGAATGACTATAAGGGGCCAACAAAAAGCGGAACCAGGTGCAACTTTTAACTTCCTACTGGTTTTTCCATTGACTTTCCTCATGGGAAGCTGGTAGGGAGCATTGGCAATGACAGTTATATGACTGAGGCTGATTGTGGCGATAATGCAGCCATGTGACTAAGCTGAAGAGACCACAACTTTGCCAAATTTCAGTTCCACAGGACCAATGGGCCTGGAGTTTGGATGCATTCTGTAAGTTAGCCTATTTAAGGTACACCAATTCACCTTGCATTATTTCCTGTATTTAGTGTATTTGTTTTTATTATAGTTTTTTTGCATTACAACCTGTCTATCTGCTCTTCACACACATTTTACCTCACCTCATTCTAGTCCTTATAACAAATGTTACATTCATACAAAGAAAACACTTGTGCAGCAATAAATGGTATAATAACACAAGAAAGGACAAACGAAGTGTTGAATATAATTACTCTTGACTGCAATTTAAATTGTGTGTGGAACTTTAATAAAAAAGATCAAATTGGATCTGGTTGCTCAGCATGTTTCCCTTTGAAAGAAATATTTTTATAAAGCCAAAGAGAAAAATTATAACTGATTGTACCAGTATTTTATATAGATAAGGGTTGTTACTTTGAAAATGTGTTTTAGATATTGTCTGCTGCAATTGTATTGTGCAATTAAGAACTCCTGAAACTTAAAGTGGAATCTCCTATAAAGCTGCTTCATATCAAGAGCCCTCAAGCTTATTAGCTGAAGAATTATCTCCATAAAACAGAATAAGCATTTTTTTTTGTTTTTTAACATTACTTTGCTTAGAAAATAAATCAAGCCAAAGATACAAGATTAGATGCAGGTAACTTGATAATAGATGGGATTCATAATTCTTGAAAGACAACAGGCGACTTGCCTTTGTTAAGAAATTCACAAATTTTGAAGTAGAATAACTTTCTGTTGAGAGTAGTAATTAGGGGTCTTCTGAGCTTAGTTGTTTTTTTGAAGACATTTCATGATGCAACTTCTTTGGATAATGAAACATCTGCAAGAAAACAACCCAGGACCCCTCATTTCAACCCTGACTTACAAATATTCTCCTTTATTAGAGTGATAATTTCTTATCTTGCTACAGAGGGATTTCTGGTTATGCTGTTTTTGTCCTGGACATTGACAGTTATTTCTAAATTTAGAAATTCCTCCCCACCTCCTCTTTTTTTCCTGATCCTTCCTCCCTTTTTCTCTGACTTTAGTGAAGTTCTCCTACATGCAGAATGAAAATGGTCAAAAATGTTGTTTCCCTATGAATGTCAGCTTTTTGTTGTTATTTTAATATTATTCATGGCCTCATGTTTTTTTAATTGCAGTGTCTTTGGTTGTGCGACAAATGATACTTTGATAGTTCGTACTTTCTGAAAATAGTTAATTTTAATTATTATTAAATAAGAGAGTGCATCTGTACACCAATTCTATATACCTACTGTACACCTACTTAATGAAGTTTTTAAATGGTTATATTTGTTTCAATAACCAGATTTAAGGTGAAAAGTGTTCTGTGTTTTCATAAATAATACATGTTCTTATTTTTATTCATGAAAACTGAAAAACAGGATTGTGAGAAATCTATATATTACAAAAACTCTTTTGTCTATGGATTGTAACCTTCATTGGATAAAATTGTGCGTGGTATGATAGTTTTTGAACCAACCTACCTAACTGGGCTAACTTACAGAATGTGTACAAAATATGGGAACTATGATTTCCTTAGGGTTGAAATTTGGCAAAGTTGTGACTCTTCAAAGCTGCTTCACTGTCATGAGCATCTGCACCCATGTGATTGAGAATTCCAGAACTCTCTGCAAGCTTTCTACAAGGAAAGTCAAGGGAAAGCTAGCAGGAAATTGGAAGTTTCTCCCACTCCCATTATTTTTTTGTTCCCCCCTCCCCCATTCATTGTTCTTCTGTTTCTCTGTTTAGATAGGAAATACCTGTGAAATGATGACCCGATGGGTCATGAGCAGTCCATTAGCTAATGGTTAAAAATTAGTTAAGCAGTAGAGCACATTAATGGCATCAGAATGCTCAAGCCTCCAATTTAATGCCTAATATATTCTCATATTCCTGTATTCATACTCTATAAATGAAAAAAAGAGAGCTGATCTTGCAAGACAATCTCAATGATAATTCCTTCCCAGTGTTTTGCAGCAATGAGATGCCAAATACAGGTTGCAGTGTACTTGAAGAATAGACCATATACATAAATAATTATAATTTATGAAGTCTTGGACAATTTATATCTAGGTTGGGTTTCATTGTTTAAATTTAATGTTCTCAGTTTCAACAAGGGTAGGGGAATTCTATAACTTAATGACTTTTTACAGGAACTAATAGAAGTGGATATGTCTCTTGACACTGAAAATGAGAGGAGTTGTTTTAAAAACATGTGCACGCAAAACGACACAAGTCTTATTTATCTATGGTTTCCATGTGTTTCATGCAGCACTCAGCAGGAGAGAAGATATACAGAAAATATTTTATGTACCATTATGAAGGATGACTAAAACACTGACCTTTTGGAACATTGTTGTGGACCACAGTGTAGTTTGCAGAGAAGCCTTCTTTTGCTATAGCACTGTCGGTATAGAAAACCATGGAGAGAATGCCAGTTGATGAGAGAACACGACCAGGTGTGTTTTGTCCACAATATCGCCCAGTATGAGGACCAACTGAAAGGAAAATAGTAATACATATATAAAAACAAGAAAACGGTTGAAGTTATGAATCTTTCCAACTACAAATGGTTAAATTTTTCTAAGAACACAAGTGTGCATTAGAAGTCCCTCAAGAGATTATAGGAAGAGTGACCTATAAGACAGGAAGTAGAAAGTATCCTCCAGTGATTGTAGCTTATTAATCAGGAAACAATCTATTGTTCAGCTCTGCAACAAAACTATTGCTCTCATAATATTCCAGTTACAGATACTTGAAAAATAAGTTTAGAAAGCTTTAACAAAATGAATTTGATTTTTACACTCTCAACTACATACTTTTCTGAATTTTGTGATGTATTCTTAGAGAACTAAGAAGAAATACATTAAAATAACATTTTGAAAGAAAATACAAAAAGTATAATCATGGAAGTACATAAATATTATTTTTAAAAGTTTTTAAATTAAAAATTATACATTTATGACAAATATGACAAAATGGAGTTATGAATGAACATGGAGTAAAAGACATTACAAACAAAATTAGACAAATCCATCTAACCATAATTCAATTAATAATGCAAGATATAGGAATAACAACATATATTTCCAGATAATGTATTTTAGTATGATGTCATAAGTTGTGAGACAGATGATTATGAATATGAAAGAACATTTTTCAGGACAAACATAAGAACAAAAAATGATTTGGCTTTCACAAGCAGTACTAGGAGATAAAACACTCTAAATAAAAATCTAACAAGACAGAAAGTTATTATTATTTTTAGTTTACTTTATTATCATTGCACCTCTTACAACGAAATCAAACACCATCTTCGGTGCACGTCATGACCATGACCATGACCATGAAAATAAACACAAACACACATCCTTCACTCTTCACACATTGAACTGGAAACCCCCGACACCACACCAACACTGCACTATACAGCAGAATTCAAAAGAGTTACTGCCCTGGGATAGAAGCCTATTTGCCCTTGTTTTTATTATTCTGTACTGTCTGCCAGATGGTAATAGTTCAAAAAAAAAAAAAAAGGGTTCTCAGGATGAGATGGATCTTTGAGAATGTTTTGAACTTTCTTAAGGCAGCGGAAGCTATAAAGCTCTTCCAAAGAGGGGAGAGGGCAACCAATGATCTTCTGGGCAATGATATTAACCCTCTGGAGTGCTTTCCTATCTGCCACTGTGCAATTGGCAAACCACACAGAGGTGCAGTATGTTAAAATACTCTATGGTGCAGCAGTAGAAGGTCACCAGCAGTTTCTCATTCAGTTGTTTTCTGAGAAGCCTCAGGTAGTATAATCTCTGCTGAGCCCTTTTGACCAGGGCTGCAATGTGGGCATCCCAGGTCAGGTCCTCTTTTAGGGTAACACCCAAAAACTTAAAACTGGCCACTTGCTCCATTCGGTCTCCATTGATAAGCAAGTGCTGGATGTCTGATCTGTTCCCTCTATAATCCACTATAAGCCTCTTGGTCTTATTGGTGTTGAGGACCAAGTTATTGTCTCCACACCATGAAAGCAACTGGTCCACCTCATTTCGGTAGGCAGACTCATCCTCCTCGGAGATAAGTCTGATACTGTTGTATCATCTGCAAATTTAGCAATAGTATTAGTAGCATGTGGGAATGTAGTCATGCACATAAAGAGTATAGAGTAAGGGACTCAACACACAACCCTGTGGTGTACCAGTGTTAAGAATAAGGGCTGAAGAGGTATGATTACCTAATCTGACCCTCTATGAGCAGCCAGACAGGACATAATCCAAAGGCGGATTGAATTAGAAAGCCCAAGGTCCAGAAGTTTAGACACTAATCTATGTGGAAGAATTGTGCTAAACGCAGAACTAAAATCCACAAAAAGCATCCTCACATAGCCCTCCCACTGTTCTAGATGAGTCAGAGCAGTGTGAAGAGTGATGGTTATAGCGTCCTCTGTAGATCTATTTTTTCTGTATGCAAACTGGTGTTTATCAAATGTATGTGAAGAAAATTGAAATAAAATTGAAAACAATTGAAATAAAACAGAACTATCCTATCTTTTAGAATTAAACTAAGCAATACCAAAAAAATAAAATACACAGAACAAGAGTTTCTTAAAGAGAATTTTCACTGTATAGATTAGAATAGTTTTTTATTTTATTATTCTTACTATCTTATCAATAAAAGAAAGAAAATAAAGTACACAATCTGATTCCATGAAAAAATAGATAAAAGGAAATACAGTGATAAAATACATATCTGGGAATACAAGTAGTACAATCGGCAAATGCATCTCTCTTACAGGAAGGTACCTACATTTGTTTGATGTATTGGATTTCTTTCTTAATTGCCTTAATTATAAACTTAGCAGTTCTGCTTATAATAGATACATTGGAGTCCAGGCGGAAACAAGAAAACCTGTGATTGAAATCCAATTGGCTGTTTTTTCCATTAGGATGGTAAGTATCTATGCCTTACTAAAGGGGCATATAATTGACAGTTGAACAAAACATAAGCAATATGATATGTCAAATGATAGAAATACATGGAGTACAATAACTCAAATCTTGCTCCAAAATGGGTCCTCGTTAAAAATCACAACATATATATTAAAAATGTTGTATTTAGGTGATATCAAACATACACAAGTACATCAGGTTTTAGTTGACTTAGTTTGCTTTGGATTTAGTGGGATTATAGTACAGTATTCATCATTTCCACTTCATAGTGACTTTATCTGGAAACCCAACCAATAATTATGAAGAATTTAACTATACAGGTAGTCCTGGTTTAATGACCACCCACTTAGCAAAGTTATGATCGATCTTCTCAGAACTACTTACAATCTGGTTCTGGAATACAGACTGTTATCCACACCCCCATGGTCAAATAACAACTGATTCAAATGTATGGACATTTGCAGTGTCCCATGATCATGTAATCACAATTTTCATCTTTTAATGAGGTGATGGGTTTCAAAAAGGTTTCCTACATGTGTACATGTGCACTTTGCATGCGCGCAGCATTTGCAACTCACCTTCTGCTGCAAGCCTTGTGTGTAAAACAGCTAATGTGCAACAGTTGTCTGTGCCGCATGAAGCAGCTGAGGTTGAAAAGCAGGAAATAAAGGTCAGTATAGAGCTGGGGTGGGTGTGAGGGCCCAGCAGCTGATCATTGGAGCAAACCGATTCACTCATAGATGATGCTCGGAGCTATCGGTTGGGTGAAACCAGGCCGAACCATTAGAATACCACCGCTGATTTAATGCCTCTGTCCAGCTTTCGGCAAAAAGTGCCCATTGATTGCCACATTTGCTTAGCCATGTTGGTTACTTAATGTTCACAAAATTAAATAATATTGATAACTTTTATTGTTTCAATCTATTTATCAATAGATTTGTGTATCTATGCGACATTCTGAAATGAGTTTATAATGCCCTCGGATGCCTGTAAGATGTGGTTAAAAACAGAAAAAGAAAGACAGTACCAAGTTTGGTTGAAATTGCTGAAGGCGTTCCAGAGTTATGCTGGAACATACACATATAAATAATATAATAATAATATAATAATATAAAAAAAATATAGAAAGAAAGAATAGAAAGAAAAAAGAAGAAAGAAGATAGAATGAATATATACAAGGGCTATCCACAAAATAGATTATGTTTTCGTCTGTAGGAAGAAGGGGCGGAGCTAGCATGGCCATCTTTGGTCTGTGCATCCGCTGCTCAGTCTGCATCTAGTCGTGCTAGTGGGAGTTCGTATCGTTGTCTGTTATTTCACAGCAAACATTTGAAATGTGTGCTGCAATTGAAAATCCCGCGAGTTGTGAGGTGTGATCAGTGATAAGGTTTTTGTTGGCAAAAAACCATAAACTGATTGAAATTTTAACTGAAAATTTGAAAAACTAAGAAAAGCAATTCAGAACTAGCGTAGAGGAAAGTTAAGCTCAAAAATTTTGTTCCAAGCCAGGTTTTCATCCTTGGAAACAAGTGGTAGTCGCTTGGTGCAAGATCGGGGCTGTAGGGCAGATGAGGAAAAATCTCCCACTTGAACGCATTCAGGACTTCTCGAGTGCGATTTGCTGTGTGTGGTTGGGCATTGTCATGCAAAAACAAAAATTTTGAGCTTAACTTTCCTCTACACTTGTTCTGAATTGCTTTTCTTAGTTTTTCAATTTTTCAATTAAAATTTCAATCAGTTTATGGTTTTTTGTCAACAAAAACCTTATCACTGGTCGCACCTCACAACTTGCAGGATTTTCAATTGCAGCACACATTTCAAAAGTTTGCTGTGAAATAACGGGCAACGATACGAACCTCCCACTAGCACGACTAGATGCAGACTGAGCGGCGGACGCACAGACCAAAGAGGGCCACGCTAGCTCCGCCCCTTCTTGCTACAGATGAAAACGTAATCTATTTTGTGGATAGCCCTCGTATATATGGAAATACACACACACACACATTCCCTGGAATTCTGGGCATTGAAACCCACACATGTTAAACTTGTCAAGTTGAGAAACACTGCTCTATCCCGGTCCATGCTTTGTAGCTTCAAGCTTTTCCCATTTGCTCATATTATGTGCCACCAAAGAAATAATTCACATTCAATATGAAATATTTCCTTTCCATTACGATAATAGTCTTAGAGGTATTCACTGAAGATATATGCCAGTGAACTAGCCTCTGGAAGCTAAAAACAACAAATCTTTTGCTAGTTAAAACCTATAACAGGATTGGCTAAAGCTCCTAAGCCTAAGAGCCTCTTACCACAATTTCCATATGGCTGGGAGCCAAACACTACACAGATTCTGTTCCTTCCCCATCATCATTTCTCCACTCTCAAGAATTAAATCAATATACTTGTCCCTTCCTTCTCTCTCAACAGCTTTACCCATAAAACCTTAATTTCCCTTCACAACTTCCCTTCAAAGTCTCCAGTAACCTTTCCAAAATAACTCTTTATGTTTCCTCTTTGCGATTCACTATCTGCTTTCTTTTTTTTCCCTCCTCAGGTCT